ACTCATTGTAAACCAAATCACAACCTTCAGTATAAGGTCAGATAGAGTAACCTACCCTTAAGAAAAACAAAGGGAAATCACTCTAACCTTTCATTTTTTAGTCAGAAAGAGTAACCTCCCCTGAAGAAAACAAAGGGAAATCACTCTCACGTTCCATTAAGTCAGACAGAGTAACCTCCCCTGTAGAAAAAAGGGAAATCACTCTAACCTTAAATTATTAATCCCGATAGAGTAACCTCCCCTGAAAACAAAGGGAAATCACTCTAACCTTTCATTTTTAAGTCAGATAGAGTAACCTCCCCTGAAGAAAACAAAGGGAAATCACTCTTACCTTAAATTATTAATCCCGATAGAGTAACCTCCCCTGAAAACAAAGGGAAATTACTCTAACCTTTCATTTTTAAGTCAGATAGAGTAACCTCCCCTGAAGAAAATCAAGGGAAATCACTCTCACCTTCCATTAAGTCAGACAGAGTAACCTCCCCTGTAGAAAAAAGGGAAATAACTCTAACCTTAAATTATTAATCCCGATAGAGTAACTTCCCCTGAAAACAAAGGGAAATCACTCTAACCTTTCATTTTTTAGTCTGATAGAGTAACCTCCCCTGAAGAAAACAAAGGGAAATCACTCTCACGTTCCATTAAGTCAGACAGAGTAACCTCCCCTGTAGAAAAAAGGGAAATCACTCTAACCTTAAATTATTAATCCCGATAGAGTAATCTCCCCTGAAGTAAAAAGGGAAATCACTCTTACCTTCCATTAAGTCAGACAGAGTAACCTCCCCTGAAGAAAACAAAGGGAAATCACTCTTTTCAATTAAGTCAGACAGAGTAACCTCCCCTGTAGAAAAAAGGGAAATCACTCTAACCTTAAATTATTAATCTCGATAGAGTAACCTCCCCTGAAAACAAAGGGAAATCACTCTTACCTTTCATTATTTAGTCAGAAAGAGTAACCTCCCCTGTCGAAAAAAGGGAAATCACTCTAACCTTAAATTATTAATCCCGATAGAGTAACCTCCCCTGAAAACAAAGGGAAATCACTCTAACCTTTCATTTTTAAGTCAGAGTAACCTCCCCTGAAGAAAACAAAGGGAAATCACTCTAACCTTTCATTATTCAGTCAGATAGAGTAACCTCCCCTGAAGAAAACAAAGGGAAATCATTCTAACCTTTCATTATTAGGTCAGATAGAGTAACCTCCCCTGAAGAAAACAAAGGGAAATCACTCTAACCTTAAATTATTAAGTCAGAGTAACCTCCCCCGAAGAAAACAAAGGGAAATCACTCTAACTTTTCATTATTTAGTCAGACAGAGTAACCTCCCCTGTAGAAAAAAAGGGTAATTACTCTTACCTTTCATTCTTAAGTCAGATAGAGTAATATCCCCTGAAGAAAAGAAAGGAAAATCATTCTTACCGTCCCTTAAGTCAGACAGAGTAGCCTCAACTGTAGAAAAAAAGGGAAATCACTCTAACCTTAAATTATTTATCCCGATAAAGTAACCCCTGAAAACTAAGGGAAATCACATTAACCTTTCATTTTTATGTCAGATAGAGTAACCTCCCCTGAAGAAAACAAAGGGAAATCACTCTAACCTTTCTTTAGTAAGCCAGATGGAGTAACCTCCCCCGAAGAAAACAAAGGAAATCACTCTAATAACCTTTCATTATTAAGTCAGAAAGAGTAACCTTCCCTGTAGAAAAAAAGGGAAATCACTCTTACATTTCATTACGTCAGACAGAGAAACCTCTCATGTAGATTAAGGGAAATCACTCTAACCTTAAATTATTAATCCAGATAAAGTAACCTCCCCTGAAGAAAACAACGGGAAATCACTTACCTTTCATTATTAAGTCAGAAAGAGTAACCCCCCCCCCCCCTGATGAAAACAAAGGGAAATCACTTTTACCTTTCATAGTTAATTCAGATAGAGTATCCTCCCCTGAAAATTACAAATGGCGTTGGGATCCAAAAACCACTCTTACCTTTCATTATTCAGTCAGATTGACTAACTTCCCCTTGAAATTACAAATGGCGTAAGAATCCAAGGTGAATCACCCATACCTTTCAGTCAGAGTAACCACTTCTGACAATTATAAATCGCGTTACGACCAAAGGGAAACAACTCTTACCTTTCATTATTAAGTCAGATAGAGTAATCTCCGCTAAAAATTGCAAATTACGTTGTAAACAAAAGTGAAATCATATAGCCGGGACATATAGCCGGGACATATAGAGATCACTTCTCCATCATCTGTTTATGTGTCAGTCACAAAATTAAGTTAGTTTATTAAGATTACTGCGTACAAGTAACAACAAGAGCTGTCATAGGAGACAGTGAAGCTCGACTAATAAAATACTGGATGCAGTAAGGAAGACAAAACTATGAAAGAAAAATCAATTATGTATTAAGTTATAGTAAAAAAATAAGATTTGTTAACATAAATTCTAAGTTCAAGGGGGAATAATTCTGGAAATAGTCACACCAGAGTTATGAACCTTGTGGCATAAGATGTGGTTGATGATAAGGAACATCTATTTGAAGTATGAAGTTGATCCCTTAAGAAATAAAGAAGTAACAGTAAACAAGAGGGCAATGATGGCCCTGAGGTCGCTCACCTGTATATAGGCCCACCCAACCCCCAACCCCCAACGTTGCAGGGCCAATTTAACCCAAGGGCTTTTATTTGCACAAACTTGGTAGACACTCATTAGAAGATGTTTCATGCTAAACATCTAAGCTCTAGCTCATTGGGCTTTTTAAAAGAAGATTTTTTTAAAGTTTTTACTATACACATATAGTTAAAAACAATGACACCCCTGGGGCCGGGCCAGTTTTGACCCCAGGGCTTTTATTTGAACAAACTTTGTAGACACTTACTAGAAGATGTTTCATGCTTAATATCTAAACTCTAGCTATTTGGGTTTTTTCAAAGAAGATTTTAAGTTTTTGCTATACACATATAAAGAAAATCAATGACCCCCCCCGGCGGGGCCAATTTTGACCCCAGGTCTTTTATTTGAACAAACTTTGTAGACACTCACTAAAAGATGTTTCATGCTTAATATCTTAACTCTAGCTATTTGGGTTTTTTCAAAGAAGATTTTTTAAGTTTTTGCTATACACATATAAGGAAAATCAATGACCCCCGGGGCGGTGCCAATTTTGACCCCAGGGCTTTTATTTGAACAAACTTGGTAGACACCTATTAGAACATGTTTGATGCTCAATATCTTAGCCATAGCTCTTTGAGTTCTTTAAAAGAAGATTTTTAAAGTTTTTACTATATGCATATAGGGAAAATCAATGACCCCCGGGGGGCCAATTTTGACCCCAGGGCTTTTATTTGAACAAACTTGGTAGACACCCATTAAAACATGTTTCATGCTAAATATCTTAGCTCTAACTCTTTTGGTTCTTTAAAAGAAGATTTTTTAAGTTTTTACTATATGCATATAGGGAAAATCAATGACCCCCCGGGGCGGGGCCAATTTTGACCCAAGGGCTTTTATTTGAACAAACTTGGTAGACACTCACTAGAAGATGTTTCATGCCAAATATCTAAGCTCTAGCTCTTATGTTTTTTTAAAAGAAGATATTTAAAGTTTTTTCTTTCGGTTGCCATGGCAACCAGAGTTCTGCATGGAATTAAATTCTTTGAACAATTTTTAAAGGTGACCACCAAAGGAACATTCCTGTGAAGTTTGGATGAAATTGGCTTAGTGGTTTATGAGATGTCATTTAAAGTAAAAGTTGATGGACGGACGGACGCCGGACGAAAAGCGATCACAAAAGCTCACCCTGTCACTTTGTGACAGGTGAGCTAAAAAAAGTTTTTTTTAAGGAAAATTCTAAATTCAAGGGGAGATCAATCTAAAAATATTGGTGCTAGAGTTATGAACCTTGTCACATAAGATGTGGTTGATGATAAGGAACATATACATGTATTTGAAGTTTGAAGTTGATACCTAAAGAAATGAAAATGTTACTGTATAGTAAAAAACATTTTACTGCACCAAAACTTTAATCTGAAATCTGGACGCAGATGCGGACACCGGGGCGAGCAGGACAGCTCTCCATATACTTTGTATAGTCGAGCTAAAAACAAGAAAAACATGTACCGAGCCAAAACTTTGACAACCGAGTATAGATCTGTGCCATAAACACGGTGTCTCATTTACAACAGTTTGTGTATATTAACTTTATTTTTTTCTTCGGACCAGGAACACTTAACACATGTTTGGGCTTGAGCCAATAAACAATCAGTGTTTTAAGTAAAACACATTGGCTATATCTAATCAAATGGTAATGTTGTACAAAACGAAGTTTATCAAATAGTTACATGTCATGGTTTATGAGTAATCATTACTTCATCTTTTGTATTGCCAAATCTTTTATGTTAATGATTGACAGATAAATAAGACAAAAACTGTTCATTCTTGACATGAGATTAAAAGGAAAAAATGCTTTGGTTGCCACTGCTAAACCCTGCATGAAATGGAACATTTCGATCATTTTTGTTTCAAGATTTAATGATATTGGCTGGACGGACAAGCATCGAGTGCACTCAATTTCAACATATTGTCCTCTGGTCACCTAATTAAAATAAGCAGCAAACAGAATACTCAGTGCAAACTTTGTTGAGACTAAATATATATGAATAATAGTGGGGGCATAGATATGCCGTGTTCATGTCGGCACTCTTCAGCTTTAATGCCTCTGTTTTGTTGGGTTTTAAGTCACACCGACACGTTAAAGGTCGAATGGCAACTTTCCAGGTGGAGGAAGACTTCAGGTGCCCCTCTGTGCATAATGCCTGTGCCCCTCTGTGCATTATTTCAAGCATGAGTGAACACCCGAGTTAGAACCGCTGACACTCTGTAAGCTAGCTGGATAGCTTCCTCGCATTACAGAGCGGGATACAAACGGACAGCCTGTAGATGCAAGTCAACAAATCTGGTTAACATTATTGGTTGTAAAACAGAACAAGAATACCTCTCATTGCACTCACTTTAATGAGTTATATGTAAAACACAGTGATTGCTATTTCACCAAGAATTTGCATTTAATGAATAACATAGAAAAGAAATATAATTATCCCCTGTTAATTAATCTATCTTTGTAACAACAAAACTGTAATGCCATTCAACACATTATTTCAAACTTACAGTCCGGTAATAAATTACTCAATTTCAACAGATCTATCATGCCCCTCAGTACATTATATAATGGTCTGGTTATTCAGTTACTTAAAAGATTTGCATGCCCCTTAGAATATTATCTTAGGGTCCAATTATTCAGTTATTTTTTTAGTCTAAGATGCCATATTAGTATTTTATCTCAGGATTCAGTTTCTTAAGATGCCCCTCAGTATATTATCTATCCTAGGATTCAACTAGACAGATACAAAAAGTCTGAGATGTCCCTTAGTACATTATCGTAAAGTTGAGTTATTCAGTTACTGAATGATAAAACATCAACTCTGTATCAAATTATTCAGATAATTAAAATCTGTTATGTCCTCAATAACTTTAATCAATTTTTTCAGTGAATGAGTCCTCATATTTGATGTTTCTGTCGGAGATAATCCTCAGTTACTTTAGCAAAATTTTTCTGTACATTCACCAATCTCACTAGTCCAGTATTACCTCCGTATGCCAGCCAGCAACACTGGTGTTTGTTGGGGTTTAAGCTTACCTGAAACAAAAAAATATACACATTTATAGTATTATAACATATAACAATTGAATTAAACAATCAAAGGACGAAAAAAATCCCACTTAAGTTTGCCTTTACCATATTAAATGCTAGAGAAAAAAATGACATATCTTTGCCACCAATATAGTCTGGTCTAGCTTATACATCTATGCATTCTTACCAGACCAGATGGCCTTTAAGACCTGTACAATTACATTGCCTTCTCGGTAAAAAGGTTATTTTTTAAAATCCAATTGTCTGTAAGGACTTCAGTTGCCCCTTTGTACATCATAACATGTGATGTTTATGAAATATGTATCATGCTTTCCTAATTGCAACAAAATTATCAAGTTTTACAAAATCTGATAACTTAATTAAGGACATTTTCTAGTTGCTGATACAACATGCTTTGGCCTTATTGTACAAGGTCATTGTAAACTTTTGACAAAGTGAGCTAATACTGAACAGAGATCTTTTGTTTATTTTTAAGGTGCAAAAAGATTTTTAGGTCAAGGAAGATGATTTTATTTGTTTCTGAGGAATAATGTACCTTTAACCTACTGACATTATATGTCGCTAACATAGCGATTATGTAATGAATACTTTGTATTTCAATGCTGTTCTTTGAATATGCTCCTTTTAACTTTATTGTATGTTGATACTCCGTTTATTGCTCCTTTGGTTTTCGCACCAAAGTCTATATATATACTTACAGACTTTATGGCAGCTATTGACGGTCTGTCATATCTATCTGAGTTTTTATCATTTGGCACATATTTTGGAACCTGAAAAATGAAAATGGGGGATTTAAAGAGGTTAAAGGCATATTCTTTAAAACCTAAATTGAAAGAATGGTGTTTAATTATCACTGGAAGTGACATGTGCAAATTATAAATTACTGAACTACACTTTAAGTAGGCAATTAAGGTTTATGTTCTAATTGTCAAAGAATATTATTATGTTTATATATCAATATGTTACATAATGAAAAGCACCATATAAAACTCTTTTCAGCAATATTTATTTGCTATGGTTGTTTCTAACACAGGTAAACGTCGCGTGGCCATGACTTACACTATACCCCTGTTCCCCCTCTACAACCCAAAACCCTTAAAAATAAATGTTATGAAAAAAAAATTTATGACCCTAAAATATTAGATATTTATAGCTTTAACTGTTACTAATTTTGATTTCAGTTGGGTTAAATGTCACACCAACACAGTATATGTCATATGGTGATTTTCCAGCTTTACTAAGGAGGAAGACCTCAGGTGCCCTTTTTTAAATTATTTCAGGCATAAATGGGCACTTGAGTAGAACCACAGACATTTCAACAGCAAGCTGGATGGCTTTCACACATATTATGTATTTATTCACGTTACATGTATTTGTGTAGTTGTGACTTTTTGTTTTATGACAATAATAATGACTGTTACATACCTTGAAATTCTCTTTGAAATGAAGCACTGAATTATTTACTAATTCTTGATAATTTTGAAGAGTTTTTCCATTTTTACTCTTTATTACACTTGTTTTAGTTTTATTATCACCTTCATTCAATTCCACTTTGATATCTGAATGAATCTCATTGGATAAATCTTTCTCTCTTGTTGATTGGTCAGTTTTATCACATGTACACTGAACACTTATTTCTGATTGGTCTTTTCCTGAGTTATCCTTTGGTAATGTTTCTTTTGATTGGATATTTGCACATTTTTTACACTGTCCTGATTGGTCTACACCACTTGAAGAATTTTCCTTGGTATCATGTTCTTCTTTTATTACAGTATCCTCTTTAATTATTGTTTGTAGAAGTAACTGGAATATTTAAAAAAAAATTTATGCAAGTAATTCAACTTCATTCGACATTAAATCATCCTTAGCTTTTTCTTTCTATAAAAAAAACCCCTAAAATAACTTTAATGTGAATAAATATACAAGGTTTCAAAAGTAGTAAGGAAGGAGCATTGATATGATTTCATATTTTGATCTTACATGATTAATACATTATAATGAACCTATTCAATTTTTCTGATTTTTTTTCCTCTTCTGATTTTCGTCATGTTCAGTTGTGAACTCTCTCTTTGATGACGTCTCAATATTCATGTTGAGAAAATATCCTACAAAATTCCTCACATTTTGTTTACTATGAAGCACCAGGCAAATGTGCTTAAAGAAACAGGTATGCATCACTTGTGATGAGTGTAATTTATACTAAAATTTTCATTCACTTATCATGTAAGTTACTCATCCACAATTTAATATAAATCTTTTTTCTATTTTTTTCTTTGGTTTTATATTACACCAACATAGAAGATGTCATATGGTGACTTTCTTGCTTTACTGTTGGAGGTAGACATTCTGTAAACTAGCTGGGTGTAATAAGCTTCTTCAATTGAAAGAATCTAAAGTGATGGCAGGATACAAACCTACTGTGGTGAAGGGTAGTTAGTTGGTTGAAGGAGATGATAAATAAAGATTGACTACCGTGAAATAATACATTCCACAATAAAACTCAATGTAATATAGTTCAGTAATCTAAATGAAAAACATGAAATAAAATATAGTATTCTTTTAAACCTTTTAAATAAAATTTTTTAATTCTCTGTATAATTCAAAATTTTGTTGGAGAAAATTTTTTTTAGACACGAGTATTTCAATAGCATTGTTAGTTTGGTTACTGTTTTTAGTCTTTATACGTAGATTTTAACACATTTTTTGTCATACTTTAGTGATCAGTCCACCTTACTGCCTTTAACAGTAATTATCAATGCTCCACAAGTGTTTGATTACTGATCTCAAATTACTTCTTTTTTAGAAGTGAGAAACATTGTCAGCTTAGTGCAGTAACGGATTAACTCCTATCAAATCTTATAGAATTTAACCAGTTACTGCACTAACATGATCACATATGACCAATAGACTCAATGGCATAGAACAACTGTCACATAACAAAAATTTTGCTTTTTGCCAGATAGAAGCAGTGACCCCCTGGATAACAAATCAGATGCTCTCATTTTTGACTAAACAGGTGAATTTTGTGTGGCAGAAAATAACACCCCTTGATCATAATGATGCAAAACATTAAACAAGAGGGCCATGATGGTCCTGTAATTGCTCACCTGTATATAGGCCCCTGGGCCAAGGTCAATTTTAAACCAGGGACTTTTATTTGAACAAACTTGGTAGACACCCATTAGAAGATGTTTCATGATTAATATCTTATCTCCAGCTCTTTGGGGTTTTGAAGATTTTTTAAGTTTTTACTATATACATATAGGAAAAAAAACAATGACCAGGAGGGGCCAATTTTGACCCCAAGGCTTTTATTTGATTTTTTAAGTTCTTACTACATACAAATAAGGAAAATCAATGAACCCTTGGGGCGGGGCAAATTTTTACCCCAGGGCTTTTATTTGAACAAACTTGGTAGACAGTCACTAGAAGATATTTCATGCTTAGTATTTAAGCTCTAGCCCTTTGGGATTTTTTATAATAAGACTTTTTAAGTTTTTACTATACACATATAAGGAAATCAATAACCCCTGGGGCGGGGCCAATTTTAACCCAAAGGCCCTTATTTGAACAAACTTGGTAGACACTCATTAGAAGACGTTTCATGATAAATATCTTAGCTTTAGCTCTTTGGGATTTTTAAAAGAAGATTTTTTAAGTTTTTTCTACATACGTTAAGGGGATAAACAATGGCCCCCTGGGACGGGGCCAATTTTTACCCAGGGCTTTTATTTGAGCAAACTTGGTAGACACCCACTAGAAGATGTTTCATGCTTAATATCTAAGCTCTAGCTATTTTGGTTTTTTAAAAGAGGATTTTTTAAGTTTTTACTATATACAAATAAGGAAAATCAATGAGCCCTTGGGCATTTATTTGAACAAACTTGGTAGAAACTGACTAGATGATGTTTCATGCCAAGTATTTAAGCTCTAGCCTTTTCGGTTTTCTAAAAGAAGATATTTTAAGTTTTTTCTTTCAGTTGCCATTGCAACCAGAGTTCTGCTTGGAATTAAATTCTTTGAACAATTTTTAAAGTTGACTACCAAAGGAACATTCCTGTGAAGTTTGGATGAAATTGGCTTAGCGGTTAATGAGGAGATGTCTTTAAAGTAGAAGTTTAAGGACGGACGCTAGACGGCGACAGACGCATGCCGGACAAAAAACAATCACAAAAGCTCACCATGTCACTTTGTGACAGGTGAGCTAAAAACTGATAAATAAACATGGTATTAAAGAAATGAGAAAATAAAAGACTGGTTATGAATAACGGTTTTATACCTGTCTAAATTTGTATGTTTTACAGTCCGGGGAAATCTTGAGGAAGTCTTTAAGTGTCAGACCAGCTATGCAACCTCTGTTATCACTAGACACCACTAATCCTACCCACTCAGAACATTCAATGTCCTGAAATAATAGAATTGTTTATAATTTCAGGCCATAACTTGATGGCATCTCAGAAAAAAACAACACCAATCTTCATTTAATTAACAAATATGTCCGGCAAAATATCTATAAAAATATACTTTCAGCTTAAATGTTCTGAAAAAAATCTTTTACAATGTTATTTTAACTAAAATGTCCTGAAAAAATCTATAAAAATATTCTTTCAGCTCTAAAATATCCTGAAAAAAATCTATAAAAATTTTCTTTCAACCCTAAAATGTCCTGAAAAAATCTATAAAAATATTCTTTCAGCTCTAAAATGTCCCGGAAAAATCTATTAAAATATTCTTTCAGCTCTAAAGTGTCCTGAAAAAATCTATAAAAATTTTCTTTCAACCCTAAAATGTCCTGAAAAAATCTATAAAAATATTCTTTCAGCTCTAAAATGTCCTGAAAAAATCTATTAAAATTATTTTTTCAGCTCTAAAATGTCCTGGAAAAAAAAAACTGTAACAATCTTCTTTCAACTAAAATGTCCTGAAAAAAAATCTATACAATTTATTGTCAGCTAATATGTCCTGAAAAAGTCTATATAAAACAATTTTCGGTCAGGTAAAATGTCTTGGACAAATCAATACAATATTTTTTTTCAGCTAAATACCCTACAAATGTATAACAATTTTCTGTCAGCTATAATTTCCTGAAAAGAATATTATGATTGTATCATTTCAGGTCATGCCCAGCTGGCACCTGAGATAACCAACCAATCGTCTGTAAGCTAGAATGTCCTGAAAAGTAAAACAAATATTTTATTTCAGGCCATGTAAAAGCACTGAACTTTGTTTAGCTGTAATGTCCTGATAATAAGTATACACAAAGTTACACATAAAAATAAAACTAATTAGATACATACAAGTATTGATTGTTAAAAAAAACAATCTAAAGATATAGGCCTATAGTGAAAAAAGTTAATTGAAGAACATTTCAAAATCATAGGACATGGATGCTAACACATCAGTTGAGAAACCAAGTGGAGTTTTAACTCTTGACTGCCTGTATTCAAACAAATACTGCAAAATCATTACTGTTTTTTTTGGTCATTGATTTTTGTGCTTTTTGTGGATAGGTCAATCCACAAATTTAACATGAAACAAAATTCTTTTTCGTCTGCATTATTTACATTTTGCTTATTTGCAAAATCAGACAATTCATGATTTTAAGAACCCACAAAAATGTCCTTTTTGACAAAACCACAAATTTACCTGCCCATGAAATTTAATTTTCATTGTAATTTACAGTACTCACATAAGTCTAAGACACTGAGCTGAAAAAATTGATTCCCTCTCTGATATAGTTGTCTGACCTCATATTTATATTTATGATAGTTATTGTAAACATGCCCAGTCAAATGTAACAGTAGATACTGACCCATATACATGCTGGTTGCAAGGAGATGTAATACGCCCCTCTCTCATCCTTCCGGTGCGCTGGAGCTCCAAAGAATAAAACATGTCCACTATCAATATATCTTGCCCTGTTGGCTAAAACACTGAAATAATAAAGTATGAATGTTTATTTCAACAAAACTTCCTGTGAATGTATAGGATATGTATGAACTTACAGGTAAAACCTTTACCTTAACCAAATTTTATATAAAAAAAGAGTATATTGAAAGGGTGTAGATTTAGTACTAAATTTATGCCAGCCTATTGTTTTATTCAACAAGTTCAAGAAATTTATTAAGTATAAAATCTACACAAATATAATATTCTATTAATCACATATCCTATATAAGAATGGTTTACAGTTAAAAAAAAAGTCATTTTTCACTGACGAGCCTATAGTGTAATGCTAACAATAGCACACTTTAAAGCTATATTTAAGAAATAATATATCCCAAACAGTGATTTTATCACAAAATAAAATCAGTTTGGAGTTTAAATGCAAGGAATAATATCACAAGGGCATAGCCCTGAGTGATATAATGATGCATATCCAAAAGACGGTGATTTTACAAAGCAATAAAATAACTGATTGTGATACATTATTTGCGATTCTAACACAACATCGACAAATAAATAGTGCTGTACCTGATATTAAGCTAAATTATTTGGTTTGTTTCCCTACTTATTTTCAGCAAGTTGATAAAAGCACTGTCTGGGATATATAATTTTGATTTTAAAACAACATCAAAAATAAATGCTGCAGTACCTGATATCAAGCATAATAGCGGCTGATTTGTTACTTTATTTATTTTCAGCCCATTAAATTTATAATGGTTACATCACATGTCTAATGGTCATGTCAAATGTCTAAATATAGAACATTAACAGTGATTTTATTGCATAATAGGACACACTTTCAGTTTTTCTATGTTCAACAGGGAAAAATTGCAGGTCATGTTAGAATTGTATATAACACAAATGACATCACATCAAAGTGTTATTACACTAATGTAATATTGCTTTTATCAAATGACTTTATTACAATCCTGTGCCTTGGTTTATGTGATAAATATCAATAATCTTCAAATTTATTTCTTTGTCTGGCCATATCTTACAGTTGGTCCACCAAACCAACTTACCTCTATAACTAGTAATTACCCATTTCTCTGCAAGTGACCAATAGACCCATATGTTTTCTAAATCAGTGGTAAGAGACAAATGATGATTTGAATCACTGTTCGAGAACAATTGTCATTGAGAAATTTTAACTCTTTCCTTCATATAGCAAGCAGGAAATTCATCTCAGTAAAAGATATAATAAAATTCATAGAAAAGGTCAGGTCTGCCTGAGCATGAAAATGCCCTGCATGCCAGCTAACCTGCCATATTAAAGATGACATAGGCAACTCGGCAGCCTTTCAGGCATTGAAAGACTGATCACAATAATTATAAAAAGACGGACTATACATAGGCATAATCACAAAATTGCATTTAAAGAGTTTTAAGATTCTTACGCGTAATTTTCATCTGAACCGCTGAAAACTCCATGCTGCCAGAGAGAGGAAAACATACATATAGGCATGTAAGAGCCACTGTCACAATGTATAGGAGCACCCAGATTTGTTAAATCGAAGAAAATCGTTTCAAAATCTTCTGATGACGTCACTATAATGTTCTCAAACAGAGAACAGAATTGTACAGCTCGAACCAGATTGCCGTGTGGTTGTAAGTTCAAATACGGAAATAACCGCACTTCGTCATTTGATGTAATACGTTGTAATGGAGATCTTGATAAAAGATTGAAGAGTTTGATAGCACCTGAAAAATAAATGTTTCTTTATATCACATAAACCATGGCGCAGGAGTGTATATTCAAAGAATAAAACAATATTATGCTCCCCACTTGTTCTATAAATTAAGCATTGAACCTTCACTCATTCAATATCCTCTATTTATCAATAAACAAATTTTGACACATATTTCTTTCTTTCTTGATACAATTTTGTGTTAACAATGGATTTAATTCAATACAGGACTGCTTGCAGAAATCATGATCAATAAATAGACAAATATCGTTTTTTCACTGATTCTTAATTTTTTTATTCATTATCATACATAAATCGGTATGAAAAGATTTTTAAGACCTTTTTAAATTCATTCCCTTTGGCAAAAAGGCAACATTTTAGCATTTAAGCGCCTTGTAAGATATATACTGGAATAAGGTATTTGGTGTGGTGCTCCAATCCTTTTTTTAGTCTAACTCCTTAACAATCATATCAATATATGATATACAAAACCAACATAATGGGTTTGCGACCAGCATGGATGCTGTTCGCTTACCAACCCTATTACAAGTAGAGAAACTGATAGCAAACAGCATGGATCCTGATCAGACTGCGCAGATGCGGATGCAGAAAGAACAGATGAGAATTGGCCTAGAGATAAGATGTCTGCCTGATCTAAGCTAGGGCTCATAGGAAAAAGCGCTACTGCTGTCATGACCATGCTCCGTCATATGACCCAAGTTCAAATTACATGTACCTTCAAACTCCAATCACAATCCGGCTATTCTTTTTTAAATTTATGACCTTATAATGACCTTGTAACACTATAATTATTAACAGGAAGGTATCCTAAAATGATTGTTGAATATTCCTCAAATTTTAATCTAGACCTCAAACAAACCTTTGTAATGTATCTTAAATACCTAAGGACTTTCCTCTGATGAACTTTATACAAGTTTCTTAATTACAAGAGAAGAATGACCTTGAAATAACCTTAAATTTTGATAAAGACCATGAAAATCCCTTTGTTTAAAGAATAAATAATAGCAGAAGTATCTAAATTTGACCTTGGAATTGCAACTTTGTAATTATAGTACTATTTTTACCTGAGGAGTATCCCAAAATGATCTTGGAGTGACCTTGAGTTTTGATCCAGTCCATGGCAGAGCAGGTGTAACTCCCACCCTCATGGTCATTACATGACATCAGTGTTATAACAGGCTTGACTTTGTAAGTCTGCGGTACTCCATCTGAGGCTGTACTCATCAGTGGAACACTGAAAACAACAAACATATTTGTGACATAGACTGATTATCTCAACATCCTCAGATCAAACATTTTCAAATGGTAACAGAACTGGTAACAGAAGTCTTAATTTGAGTTCAACACATCTAAATTGACTGTCAGTTTGTTTGTCTTGCTCTCACATTGATTTAAAACATTTCCGGTCATTTCTCTGCGGCCAGTTAACCAAACAGGCTTTCCTAGATAATTAAACAGTAACTGCAATTTCTCCACAAGTGATCAATACATATCCTAATTTCTGAATCGGGAGTAAGAGACAATTTACCTTCAGATTTGACGTCCATAATCAATGAACCCTTTCAAGGTTTACAGTTATATGCAAATTGGCTTACAGGCTATCCAATTGCTACACTGGGATAATACATAAACACTGGTTTACCTGGTTTTCCCAAAGAAACACAGGATTTTTTGTGATACTGTTTTAAGAGCAGTTGATATAGCAATGAACAGAAAGCAAGGCCAATTTTTCGCTGCTAAAAACTGGAAAGGTCCATTGTCACATAGAATATTTACCTCAGCTGAGGATCTAACTAGTGACCCCTGTATTACCATTTTGATGCTTTCCCTAGTGAGCTAAGCAGATGGACATATGTATATCATATATCCATGCAAGATATACACAATCTCTGAATGATCCCTCATCTTGATGAAATTTTGCTATAACTTTGCTATCATTACATTTTCTTGACATAAGAACATCTTGTGGACAAATGATCACAATACACAGTTACCTAAATATCCTACAAGTTCCGTCAGTAAAGCAAACAGCAAGTAAACCAAGCCTGGTGTAAGACTCAGCCTCTGTCTGAAATATATCAGTTTCTGTATATATAGCTTATTAAACATTGACAGTTTTGACAAATGTTACAGACTGTTTTCTTTCCCTACTGTCAAATCGTTGGAAAAAGACATTGCCCATTCACAAAGCATCTTGATGTCTTTTGAACAAGTGTTATTAGTTGGACTTACAATTCCATTTTTATCTTAATCATCTTAATCAAATGTTCACAAAGTTCTAGAGGTGACAGTATTAAAACTTTATTATAGCATTAAAAATCTATATATTTCAATGAGATTGTAGCAAAAAGTATTTCAACTTTGTGGCTATTATGGCAGCAAAGGTATGTTTTTATGGCAGCAAAGGTATGTTTTTATGGCCGCAAAGGTATGTTCTTATGGTGGCAAAAGTTTGTTATTATGATGGCAAAGTCGCAATTGTTTGTGGTGGTGGAAAATGTCTGTTTTAAGGATACAAAGGTTTAATTTATTGGCGGCAATAGTCTGCTTTATTTGTGGAAAAAGTTTTATCTATTGGTAGCAATGGTTTGTTTTATTAGTGGCAAAGGTTTATTTATATAGCACTTCTTGTATGTAAATGGTTATATAACAAACCTGATTTTCATTTGACTTATAACAACCTGATGGACACCATAACATTTGAGTAGCAAGTCCAAAATCGTGCACCATGTTAAATTGTAAACTTGGGACAGCTTTCGATTTCCTGAGAAAAAAAACAACAAAACAATTTTAATTCAATTCAATCAAGATCTCAGAAACCATCTACAGTTACAATATACTATTTATTTTCTAATAAAAGCAGGGGTAAACTTAGAAAGTCAGCAAGTTAACTTATGCAAATCAATTAACATCACTGAAATTGTCACGGAAATACAGCCTTGCCAAGCAGTCTTCACAGTCTAAGGCCAGAATTATAAGTCTCCCCATTGACCATGTTGTCAATTGTAAATACTTACAATTTATTATTTTGTATCCCTGTAAACCAAATCTGGATCAAACCAGGTCCTGTCCATCTCTGATCTGTGAGGAACATTTGAGCATGGTCAGTTTTGCCAGTTACAGCCAGGAACTGACCATCTGTACAGGTCAAACTTGTTGGACACCAGGCCAAATCCCAAATAGACAAACCAGTGTAAAACAATGGAAAATCTGAAAATAATACAAAACAAAATCAGATATGTAATTTAGTAAGTATTGTTTTTTTCTTCTTCATGATTTAAGTTACACCAACACAAATTGAAGTTATAATTATAGCAACTTTCCAGCTTTACTGGTGGACTGAGAACTCAGATGTCCCTCAAAGCATTATTTCAGACACATGCAGGCACTTTAGTGGAGCTAATAAAATTCAGTTGCTGGCTAGATAGCTTTCTCACATGAAAGAATATCCTGTCAGGCATTAAACTAACAGCAGTGACAGTCAAGTGGATTGAAGTAAAACCAGCATGTCACAGAGGCCCCTTGTAAGTATTGTCAGCCTGCATAAGTAAAAAGAAGTCTAACAAGTAATTCATCAATCTTGTGAATAAGGCCCCAACGGTTACACGTTTAAACGGATTCCTTTCGATTTTCATTCGTAAACGTTTACGATATTTTTTACCGTTTAACCGAAATGACCATAATTATTGTCTCACAAAATTTCTTAATCATTGCCTGTAATCATGGATTTATCAAGTCTAAAGGTTTATGCCATAGTAAAAAAAAACGGAAAATAAGTGTGTGTAACCCTCCACACAGCATTACCGCGCAAAATTGCTCGTGACATATTACATTTTTTGGTAAAAAATGGGGATACAATGCAGAAAATGTGTGCTGTTTCAGTCGTGATGAGCCCTGGACATTATATATTTGTACATGTATTAAAAATAGAAAGTAAGTCATCATTTGGCGACATATATACATGGTGTATATACCACCGTTTAAACAGTATCGTTTTGGTTCTAAGCAATCGTGTAAACGTTTACAAAAAATTGTAAACGTGAAAGCCTTACTTGTGAATAACATATGAGTCTTTGATAAGAGTTGTTACTGTTGCAAACTGAAAGAAATTTTTGATTCAATGATAGCATTCCAATTCACATACATTCATGCAAAATAAGCTGTAAAATGTTGTTTTTATATATATATGTATATAAAAATGAAAGAATTCATAGTCCCTGGCAGGACCCACCCCACAGCAGTTCAGACCAAGAGATTTAAAACCACTCAGCAAAAGAAGACCATAAAACAGAAGAGTAAGTCATACAATTACCATCGATGGTTGTAGATTGTAAAGTGTGTAGGGTAGATGGACTCTTGTTGCCATGGAAACTGAATCTTATACTGGCTTTCATTTTAGGAAGATATGGCTCACTTTCCCTGGATAACACATAAATGTCACTTAATACAACAAATGTCAAAATGATACATATGCCCCCTTCCCAAAACCTTTAAACCTATTTCCAGATATTTTCAGACGTTTTCCCTTAAAGAGTTAAATTGAGATAAAAAGATTTTAAATCACACATGACTTGTATATCAAATTGCAATTCCAAAGTGTAGACAACAACAAAGTTAAGGTTGAATTTCCCTTCATTTAGATCAGAAAGTTCATTAAAGGGTTAGTCTATTAAATATCAAAACATAACAAGAGCTGCCGGTAGGACTGCCAGCTCGACTATTCTCAGTCCTTGATAGTTAAACAAGAACATGAATACTGTAGAAATTTTAAAGTTCAAAAAAGCCATAATTCTGCCAAAATCTAAGTTAAAGTTTTAGGTCTTGGACAGTGACCTATAATTTATGCTTTGAAATAAGTATGCAGAGTTTCAACCCATTCCTTTCAGTAGTATTGGAGATACCAACCTTCATGCAAAAACTTAACCAAAATGTGACACCAAAGCCCGAGTGAGTATATAGCTCTCCTATTCTTCTAATAGTCAAAATAAAATCAACCAATATCACTTCTTGTATCCGTAACAGTTACAGATCTTTTATTAAATGGATATGTGAGAGAGTGGGGCAGCCTGCAAAACAATCGATCAATTTCCTTTGCTTTACCTCTAAAAAATTGTTTTACAGGGACAGGCAATGATCTGGTTAACCCGTAGCCTGCTTGAACCAAATATGACAATACTTTACCACCAGTATAGAGCCAAGCCAGCATGCACATCCTTGTAGTCTGACAAGCCTCTATACTGTTTCACTAACTAACTGAATTCTCATCTTGATAATGATATCCCCAGATTTGATAATGAACAGTACCAAAATTTGAAGCTGGACTAGTTAGATTATGAAATTTAACAGATTTAAGGGTTAGTATCAAAATATCAAATCACTGTATTTTGGGATTGCAATCATAAAATAAATATAACCTATGAATTACAGTGTATCTATATATATTAAAGTTAACATTAGTTGGTCTGTTTTCATACTTACTCCTGAGAAAGTTGTTTCCAGTCCTTTTTCAAAGGTACCCAATCCAAAAACAATTGTTCAGACCAATTTTCTTCCACAAATTTTTCCATTAAGGGATGTGGATTGAAATGACCAGCTCTATTCCAATCTGAAAAAAAGAAAACAAAGACCTCAAAAATTGCTCAAAAGTGTTGACAATAACCTTTACCTTGATTCTGTTACTGTGATTTTAACTTACACTCCATGACTCTTTAAATGCTTTGTATCATATTGTATTAACAAGAGCACCAAATTCAATGCTTTACTCTTGTCTATATATATTTATTTTAGGTGAACTACATAAAACACAAAAAAAATGGAAGCCAAAGATACTGTGACAATACTCATAAATTTACAAAATTATTAGGAAATACTTCTGCAATCCAAAACCACTGCCAAGTCATTATATGCTAATTAGTGGGCTGAATAATGACATCTTTCATACTACTAGCCCGGTAAACCATAAACCACAAAGCATAACTAGAAACAGATGGACAAGGGCAAATCTAAATGGCCATCCACCCCTTTTATAATGAGCGCAAAGAAATACAGAGATGATAAAATGGACATATGTTGATATATTTGATAGTTTTGAAATACTACTACTTAATAAGCATTCTGACATATAAAATTTTACAGATTTGTAGTTAGCGCTTCGAATCACAATTTCATGCTCAACTTATACAGCTGAAATACACTTACAAGGATTTTTTCCATTATTGTCATCTTCTACATCATAATCATCATCAGCAACAATATCATCATCATAATCATTTTCATTGGGTGATTGTACATCATCTTCATTGATATCATCATCATCATCGATATTGTCATCCTCCTCCTCATCATCATTCTCATCATCATCATTCAAAACAACATCAGGGTCATCTGATTTGTCACTCTCAGCAGTCGGTTCCATATCTTTTGATATATTATGTACCATTGTTCTTGCTCTGAAAATAATTAAAAATGGCAAAATCCATGTTAAAAATGGCAGAATCTAAGTTAAGATGACAAAATCCATGTAAAAATGACAGAATCCATGTAAAAAATGGAATAATCTTGCTAAAAATGGCAGAATCTATGTGAAATGGCTGGATCTACAAATAAGTAAAAATGGCAGAAACTATGTAAATATAGCAGAATCTAGATAAAAATGGCAGAATCTATATAAAAATGGCAGAATCTATGTAACAGGAAAGCAAGGCAGGAATGTCATAATAAATATCATCTAAATTCAATGTTGAACTCAAAAAGAATATGTTTTTTAACATTTGTTTTGGTAAATGAGTAAAACATCAAATGTACAAGAATCACGCAATCACTTACTTTTTGGCAGCTTTTCTTTGTCTGCCACGTCCAGAATCCTCTGTTTCTTCCATCATTTTCATTTCCTCCTTACGTCTCCTGCTCTCTTCTGTCCGCCTCTCTTTATCTAACTGTGCCAGGAGTGCTGGGCATGTCTTTAAGTGTAGCTGTTGCCAACGCAACACAAGATTGTCCTTCTCACAATGCTCACATGTGTATGTTAAATGCTGTAACATAAAACATAATTCAACAAGAGGCAGCACACTTGGCTATTCTTAGTGCATGATAGTAAAACAAGAGCCTTTATAAGGTAGGATTTCACAGAGGAAGATTTCATTAAAAAAATGCATCACATACATGTATATTGAGTCTTGGATATTGACAAAAGAATTTGGTATTTTCACAAATGGTCAGCTTTCATTCAGGAGCCGAGCTTGTGTAATGGGTCTTGGAAAATGACCTTACAAAAACAAGGATAAAGTTTCGAGTGAGGAACATCATTTGGTTTTTGAAAAATTTCTGATGAACGCAAAACTTAATCCAAAAATTTTCTAAGGTCCATTTCTCAGTAAAAAGTCATGCCATAGTATGGGATTTGGATAATGACCCAAAAATGGTATGAAAATAGATTTAGAAAAAAGGAATCCCTAAAGAACATTCAAAATGGCAATGTACAAAACATATATTAAGTTTCAAGTGATCACCTCCAGTAGTTGGCTTTATTTTTATTTAACCATGCAATACCAGGAATAAGAGGCTCAGATCAGTGGTATTTATTACATACACCTTTAAAAAATAAATTTTTGGCATAGTAGTAATAAAAACTATACTAAAATACATAAACACTTAAAAATCTATTGTTTCAAAGCAATAATTACCTCCCTTCCGCACCATTCAAAATGGTTAGGATAGTATGTTACAAAGTTAATCTGTTTATCACACTTTGTACAGTTAAGGAATTTCTTCAGCTTGAATACATTTGCCCAGCAAGATTTGTCGAAAATTCCCTCCGGGTTTTCCTCAGTCCACTGAAAAATACATGTATACAAAATTAAAACAAAATATGACAAAGATTTATCTCAAATAAACATGAAGACCCTGGATCTCTTCCTGGATACAGAAGGCTAGATTGTCATGGTTACAGTTACATTATGTTGAAGTATACAATATAATTTGTTTAAAACAAATTTATATTTTCAGCTCTGTCCATCATTTCTTTTTTTTTATAAAGGATCACTCAAGAATCATTCCCCAGTAAGGTTCATCAAAGTTTGTTCTACAATTCATCTGAATGACTGTGACTTTTATTTCTATTTTTGTCTCTGGTGGCCACCTTGTTCAACAGGCAGGAACAATTCTAGCTATATTCGTAAAGCAATGACAAATAATCACTTTTATGAAATTAAATAAATTTAATAAAATCATTTCAGAAGGGCATGTCATTTAAAACTAACTTCTTTCTCTGGTGGTCATTTTGTTCTCTAGACCACAATGTTCTTATGTGAGACAACAGAAGTGTATTCAACATTGTCTGTGTATAATTGTAACACTCGTAATATTTTGAGCCGTGTCATGACAAAACCAACATAATGGGTTTGCTACCAGCATGGATCCAGACCAGCCTGCGCATCCACACAGTCTGATCAGTATCCATGCTGTTCGCTTACAAACCCTATAACAAGTAGAGAAACTGATAGCGAACAGCATGGATCCTGATCAGACTGCGCAGATGCGCTGGCTGGTCTGGATCCATGCTGGTCACAAACCCTTTATGTTGATTTTGTCATGACATGGCTCATTTGTTAATTCAGATCAATATTGAAATGTAAAACATGCACTGATCATATGAAGTGAAGACAAAACTCTTTTATGGAAAGGAATCAATAAAAATTTTATGCTTGTTTTTCAATTCATATACATGTACATTGTGATGTAAGATGATACATTATTGTAAATTTGCTAAATAAAATATAAGATTTTTTTTAACTAACTCTGCATTTTGATAGCCTTTTTTTAATTTGAGTCCCCAGCGAGGGGTGGGGGGAATTGGGGGCAAACATCTTTATGGTTAAAAATGCCATAAAACAAACATACCCATAGCTGATGAGATATGGCATAATGTTTCCTTATATCAATCACTGTCTTTCCATGATAATCACAATGTTTACACTGGAGGTTCTTCACCTGATGTAGAAACACATTAAAGGCACATTATATACGGGCACATAAATACATTAATTTTTCCTTCTTCAGAAAGAGTATTACATGAGTTTTATAATGTTAAAATAATGGTTTTACAGCATGTTAGATACATATCATCTGAAGAAAGTAGCACTAAATGTGAAATTATCTGTCATAAAATTTTTTGAAATTATCTGTCATATTAAAAGAACAACAGAAGTGTATTCAACATTGTCTGTGTATAATTGTAAACACTCGTAATATTTTGAGCCGTGTCATGACAAAACCAACATAATGGGTTTGCTACCAGCATGGATCCAGACCAGCCTGCGCATCCACACAGTCTGATCAGTATCCATGCTGTTTCGCTTACAAACCCTATAACAAGTAGAGAAAACTGATAGCGAAACAGCATGGATCCTGATCAGACTGCGCAGATGCGCTGGCTGGTCTGGATCCATGCTGGTCACAAACCCTTTATGTTGATTTTGTCATGACATGGCTCATTTGTTAATTCAGATCAATATTGAAATGTAAAACATGCACTGATCATATGAAGTGAAGACAAAACTCTTTCATGGAAAGGAATCAATAAAAATTTTATGCTTGTTTTTCAATCCATATACATGTACATTGTGATGTAAGATGATACATTATTGTAAATTTGCTAAATAAGATATAAGATTTTTTAATTAAACTAACTCTGCATTTTGATAGCCTTTTTTTAATTTGAGTTCCCCAGCGAGGGGTGGGGGGAATTGGGGGCAAACATCTTTATGGTTAAAAAATGCCATAAAAACAACTACCCATAGCTGATGAGATATGGCATAATGTTTCCTTAATATCAATCACTGTCTTCCCATGATAATCACAATGTTTACACTGGAGGTTCTTCACCTGATGTTGAAACACATTAAGGGCACATTATATAAGGGCACATAAATAAATTAATTTTTCCTTCTTCAGAAAGGGTATTACAGGAGTTTTAAAATGTTTAAATAATGGTTTTACAGCATGTTCGATACTTATCACCTGAAGAAAGTAGCACGGAACGTGAAATTATCTGTCATAAAAAATTTTGAAATAATAAAAGAATTAAATGTAAACACAGTAGTAGTTTGACTTCCGTACAAACTGACAAATCAGTATAATTGTATCAAGTGCCAAAATGCAACAGAAGAAAATTATGACACAGCTAAATGAACGATGAATAGCTTTTTTGAAAAACTATATTAGTAGGACACCATATATAAAATATTTTGAGAAATAAAAAGAAAAGCATTTCTGGGGCATGATTGGGCTTTTAAATACTTACATAGAATGTAATAGAATATTAAAGAAAACACAAACAAAGACAAAAAAAAACAAAAAACATTTCTTCAATTAATTATGACAGACTTATTGCACCAATGTAAGGAAAAACTTATATTTTTACTGTAGGCTTATAAATTTCAGTAATTTGTTGTTTAAATCCTTTTAAAAGACAATGGAGAATTCCAATTTTTCATAACTAGGCAAGCCAATCTCACAAATGCAGCAATATTAGTGATAATCCACAGTTAATCATAACCCCATCATCTAAGTAGGAATACTGGAACCAGATTTGTAAATATGAGCATCATGAGTCTGTACAAAAAAATTACAAAATAAATGTTTAAAGTACATACTTGTTTAGATGGAGTTTTCCGTGAAGGGGTTTTCTTGGATGTAAAAGAAACATCATCTGCTGGAAAATATTTACATCATTTCTTTAGGATAATTTACTCGGTTCAGAATTCTTTTACCCTTTATTATTTCATATAATAATAATAAGCAAAATTTACATTTAAGAACACAACTCATACATCTAAAAATTTTGCCTCCAAGTCGGGAGAGGAAAAAAAAGAGATTGAGATTGTCAGATACTCTGCTTAATTGAATTTTCAAATTGCAGAGAAACAAATAAAACTTCTATGGTATTGTGTACAATTCTGTTTTAAGAATCTAATATTCAGGGGAAAAAAAAAATTATTGGGAATAAAACCATGTATCTGCTATAAATTAAATTATTTAACCTCTACAATCTATCAACAATTTTGAAAATTGTGTAGGCAGCAATTGCAGCAGCAAAAATTATATAAATACCTTCATAGTCAAGTTCTTCGTCATCTTTATCAAATATGTTGACTTCATTTTGGTCTTCAGACTCTTCTATTTCATCACCATCATCAACTGCTGCATAATTCACCTCCTTTCTCTTACGACCTCTCTTTTTGGCAGGAAGTTCGGTAGACTCTTCTTTCAAATCATCACCATCCTCCATAGCGGCATAATTTATCTCTTTTCGTTTCCGACCTTTCCTACTTGATCCCTGGGATTTGTTCAATTCCTTTTCAATTTCATCACTTGCATCACTTTGTGATTTCTTTTTTCTGCCTCTTTGCTTAGATGTTGAAACAGGAGTTACAAAACTGTGTTCAAGAGTTTTTTCCTGAGGGGATTCACCTTCATCCAGCATTTTTCTTTTTCCTCTTTTCCTAACAGGAGCACTTACAGGAGTGCTTAGTAATCTAGCACTTTCGTCTAGATCAGTGTCATCGTTTAAATTTCCTTTTTCATTTGATTGATCTAAATCTTTATCAGTTGCTTCTACTTGTTCACTGGAATCTTCAATAACAGCTTTTTTAGGCCTTCCTCTTTTCCTACCAGGGGTTTTCTTCTGAGACCCAGTATTGCTAATATCAGAGTCAATCTTAATGGTATTACTATCATTAGCTTCATTAGATTTTGATTGTCCTTTATTGTTTTTAGAATCGTTTTCTTCAATTGCTTTATGCTTTACAGGAGTGCTATCATCTTCTAGCTTAGTAGTGTCTTTTGACTCCTGTCTTACCATCACCCTATCACACTTTTCAATATATTTTGTAGTTCTTTTACTTTCAACAGCTTGTCTAATACTTTCCAATTCCTCTTCTGACACTGGAACTTTTTCATCTAAATCATCTCCAAATCCTTGACTAGGTTGTACAAATTTATTTACCTTTCGCTTTTTTTCTTCATTGTTTTTTAGCTCTGTAGTTCCTTTAGTTATGAGCACTTCTTCCACACCTTTAAACTTTTCAATACTATTTGTATCATTTTCAACTTTCTCACTTGAATCATCTTCAAAAGTAATGTTTAACTTTTGTGACTTTCGTTTACCCTTCTTAACACTAGTAGTAGAATAGTCCATGTCCTTCTTGACTGGGCTGTTGTTCTTGTCAGATTTATTCTCAGTAACTTTGTCTTTATCAACCTGCTCATTGTGTTGTATTCTGTCTCTCTGAAATTCATAAATTTATTTTGATCACTGAACATAATAATTATACTTAAGCTTAAAACATAGATTAGGGTTTTCTTAATTGACAATCACTTTAAGTATCAAATACTTCATCATTTTAATTGTATTACCGGTATGTATTTTGTATATCTAACACTAAATTAAAGTAATCTTCACTGTGTAAAATATCAGCTTCAATTTAAACCTACTCATTAGACATTCTGGGCCATGTTTCAAATATATATTAGATTTCCATAAAAAGGAATATTTACCAGGTTTTCAAATGTTTGAATTATGAGAAAAACTTCTTTTACCTGATTTTCAGAAGGTGCTTCAGTTTCAAAACCTGCCCAAACCTTCGGCTTCCTTTCTCTTTTAGAGTACATTTTATCATCCACAGGATCTCCTTTAAATCTTTTCCTCTTTTCTAGCCAATATCTGAATATTAATAATAATAAATTTAAAGAGTAGAAATAATGGTTATATCAGAATGTCTTCAAAAGGCAACAAAAGCCAAAGTCATAGCCTTTTCACCATGCAAGCACCTGCAAATTTCTCTGTAACGAGCCTTTTGGAAAGTTTTGATGTTCAACCCAGTAAATCACACAATACTGCATGACAAAATATTCCAAATGACACTTTTTCTGGCTAATGGAAGCTTAAATGAGCTGCGTCATGACAAAACCAACGTAATGTGTTTGCGACCAGCATGGATCCAGACCAGCCTGCGCATCCGCGCAGTCTGATCAGGATCCATGCTGTTCGCTATCAGTTTCTCTACTTGTAATAGAGTTGGTAAGCGAACAGCATGGATCCTGATCAGACTGTGCGGATGCGCAGGCTGGTCTGGATCCATGCTGGTCGCAAACGCACTATGTTGGTTTTGTCGTGACACGGCTCAAATGTTCTTCCGCCATTTATTGGTAATCTGACCACAGATTTGTCATACCTCTAAGTGTCAGTCATGCAAGTGGGAGGTCTGCTTTCACAGTTTCTATTAAATTTATGAAATAAAATATTCTCTTTATGTTTTGTTAAGATCCGAAATTGGTCATTTTAACTGATAAGTTATAAATATATAAACTGATTTAATGATTCGCCCTAGTTCACTGACAATTCACCCCAGTTAAATAATCATCATGGCACCATGTTTTAAATCATCTTCTTTCAAGAATGCTTAATAAGTTTAACATATATTCTCTGAATTTGCTGAGAGAAAAAAGATCAGTTTTTCCATGCAATGACACAAGGTACACCTTTATTTTAAAGTCTTGAGATACTTTATAAATATAATTTTCTAGTTTTGAAGAAGGACATAATAAATGTTTGCATTAATGAAATTGCTAGAAAATACCATTGTCAACAATTATTAACCATCATCTTTAAGTCACGAATAATATGTATAGATAAACAATAATCACATATTTATAACATCAATTTAATTATTTTTATCTCTGAAAGTAAAATAAAAAAATATAAAAATGAGATTTGAAATAAGTTCTGTTAAACTGATATTTTCCTTATCCTATCTCTAAATCAAATGTAATCTTTAAAATATTATAACAAATATTTGCAAAACATATCCATTTTTCAATGAATGAATTAAAAATATTTAATACAAAGTGGGGTGAATCTTCACTGAAGAGGGCCAAATTGTCACTTAAGGTGAGTCGATATGGGGCAAATCTTTATTGGGGTGAATCATTATATTACCCAACAGGCCAAACAATAGAACAATAAAAGACAAATAAAATTGTGGTGGTGTATTTAATATTTACTGTCACTAACTTGCCCTAATTATCACCATAATAGCGAGCTTTACCCTAACGCAAGTACCTGCTAAATAGTGATGGTTTTGAAAACTTATGCGGAAGTACTGAATTGACACATCCCAACTTTTCGAATTACAAGATAATGATAAAAGCAGAGGTATTCTAATTGAAAATGGATGTGTAAACTGGTAACCTGCGCACATTCACAGGAACCATAATAGGACATTTCTGTAAAATTTGGCTGAAATTCAACAATTAAAACAGCTCTATTTCCATCCTGGAAAAGCACAACCCTCTTCTGTAAACCTGACATGGCTTCCTAACATCAAGAACCTAATCTCAAACCTATCTAAGTATCTCTAAATTCTAGTGTAGTCAATGAATAGTCAAAATATATTGACATGCCAAAGCTTGATTCTGAGATATTTTCGTTCTGGGGCAGAATCTCGCTTTTAGAGGCGAGATATTGCCCAGACACGAAAATAAAACAATATCTCGCCCCACAGTACAATTAGTTGGACTAGTCAATGAAGTGATAGTCATATGATTTATCATTTAACATTGAAATACTCTACAGGATGCAGGTACCTGCTTTAAGAATTTTTGTTTCATATATCTATTTTCACAATTAGTTCATGGTGAATCTACAGGACTTTCAAAGATAAAAGGGGAAGTCAAAGACCGGGCCCGCGAAGCGGGTCCGGGCTTTGGCTTGCCCGGCTATAGACTACACGTGAATATTTAAAAAAAAATCAAATAAAAAAACATTTAAAAAATTTAAAGAATTCTATACCTATCAATAAAATTTTCAGTGTCAGTTCTAGTCGGGCGCCGCCATTTACAATGTATGTCAATGATAATAGGCGGGGTATTCCGATAACGGAACAAATCTCAACTTCTCGGATTAGTAATAATCGTCGAGTGTTCCGAGTGAAAACGGAAGCGGTGTATGTAATATCGAATGACACCTTTAAAACGGAAAGAATGAAAGGATTTTTTAACGACTTCCCCGTTCATAGGCTTTGCCTAATTTCATATTAGCAATTTGCATGAAAATTACACTAAGTAATAAAATATGTAATGTCAATATCCCTTCCTATGCATTGTTTTCATTTTACAGCAGCAGACATGTCTGTCAGAAACTTAACTTTTATGCACACAAATTGATGGCATAATAGTCACTTCTAGAAAAAAATAAACAGCTCATGAATGAAAGGTTTGAGAATAGGTTGGGTGTGAGATTAGGGACAAAATTGAATGTGCATTTAACTGAAGGAATGATATTTACCTGTTCGTTGTACTGTGTGGCTTTCAGTTATGTTTCAAAATGAAATATTTACTTTTGTGACACTGTGACAATATGCAATAACTTTAAATAACATGAAACACGTTAATTTAACAGTGATGTTAATTGATTTCAGAAGTCTATGGAGTTTTTCTCACGATTAGTGAATTGTACGGTCAAGTTTAGGATAAAACCCGTCATTAATTTTCCCCGTACCGTACGGAATTTTAGTAGAATCTACTTTTTAGCTCGACTATTCGATAAGAATAAGTAGAGCTATTGTAGTCACCCGAGCGTCGGCGTCTGCGTCGGCGTAACCACTTATGTTAAAGTTTTTGTAATAGTTTAAATATTTTCAAAGTCCATTGACATATGGCTTTGAAACTTTGCACACTTGTTCACCATCATGACCCCAACATGTAGACAGGAGGTGGTAACTCTATCAAGCATTTTGACAGACTTATGCCCCTTTTTCGACTTAGAATTTACGTTAAAGTTTTTGATATACCTCAAATATTTTCAAAGTCCATTGACATATGGCTTTGAAACTTTGCACACTTGTACACCATCATGACTCCACAATGTAGACAGGAGAAGGTAACTCTATCAAGCATTTTGACAGAATTATGCCCCTTTTTTGACTTAGAATTTACGTTAAAGTTTTTGTAATACCTCAAATATTTTCAAAGTCCATTGACATAATTGGCTTTGAAACTTTGCACACTTATTCAACATCATGACCCCAACATGTAGACAGGAGGAGGTAACTCTATCAAGCATTTTGACAGAATTATGCCCCTTTTTCGACTTAGAATTTACGTTAAAGTTTTTGTAATACCTCAAATATTTTCAAAATTCATTGACATAAGGCTTTGAAACATGTTGAAATTTTATACTCTTCTTTGAGAGCATAATAGGACTCTCTGCAAGGCCTATAACTGTAATATGGATTTAAAGAAAAAATTTTGTCTTTTTCTTTACTTAGAAATTTTACCTTTTCATCAAGGCTTTTTTTACTATCAAGCACTAAGAAAAGTCAAGCGTTGCTGTCCTACCGACAGCTCTTGTTTATATAGATATCTACAAAGAGACAGACAAACAATTTTACATACTAGATTTTCCCAAACGATTGATTTTATTTAAAAACTATTCTTCATAATATACTAATTGAAAACAGACACAATTTTGTTTAGGCTAATTACTTAAAGCAGCTTCCTTCCAGATCCATGCTAATATTCATCTGGGATAAAAAATATATAAATATTTTGTCCCAGTTTTCATAAAAGATTTGAAATTATTTCTATAAGTAAAATATTGATAAAAGATATTAGATGGTGCTTGCAATCCAGTGTCGTAAATTAACAAAAAGGAGGTCAAAAATAGTGACCTTACTGGTTATGTTGATAAATTGATAATCGACTTTTAGGCGATTTTTGGGCGATTTGAGTGAAAAGCATTGCAACGATTGTCATTTGTTTGGCCAATTTGGACAATAACAAGAGCTGTCGGTAGGACAGCAACGCTCGACTATTCTAGTGCTTGATAGTAAAAAATAATGCTTGATACAGTTACCTACTCCAGTCTACAGGTTGGGGTCATGATGGTGAACAAGTGTGCAAAGTTTCAAAGCCATATGTCAATGGACTTTGAAAATATTTGAACTATTACAAAAACTTTAACGTAAATTCTAAGTCGAAAAAGGGGCATAATTCTGTCAAAATGCTTGATAGAGTTACCTCCTCCTGTCTACAGGTTGGGGTCATGATGGTGAACAAGTGTGCAAAGTTTCAAAGCCATATGTCAATGGACTTTGAAAATATTTGAACTATTACAAAAACTTTAACATAATTCTAAGTCGAAAAAGGGGCATAATTCTGTCAAAATGCTTGATAGAGTTACCTCCTGTCTACAGGTTGGGGTCATGATGGTGAACAAGTGTGCAAAGTTTCAAAGCCATATGTCAATGGACTTTGAAAATATTTGAACTATTACAAAAACTTTAACGTAAATTCTAAGTCGAAAAAGGGGCATAATTCTGTCAAAATGCTTGATAGAGTTACCTCCTCCTGTCTACAGGTTGGGGTCATGATGGTGAACAAGTGTGCAAAGTTTCAAAGCCATATGTCAATGGACTTTGAAAATATTTGAACTATTACAAAAACTTTAAGGAAAATTCTAAGTCGAAAAAGGGGCATAATTCTGTCAAAATGCTAGATACAGGTACCTCCACCTGTCTACAGGTTGGGGTCATGATGGTGACCAAGAATGCAAAGTTTCAAAGCCATATGTTAATGGACTTTGAAAAAATTTGAACTATTACAAAAACTTTAACGTAAATTCTAAGTCGAAAAAGGGGCATAATTCTGTCAAAATGCTTGATAGAGTTACCTCCTCCTGTCTACAGGTTGGGGTCATGATGGTGAACAAGTGTGCAAAGTTTCAAAGCCATATGTCAATGGACTTTGAAAATATTTGAACTATTACAAAAACTTTAACATAAGTGGTTACGCCGACGCCGACGCCGACGCTCGGGTGACTACAATAGCTCTACTTATTCTTATCGAATAGTCGAGCTAAAAATGATTATTTCTGCGAAACAGAGTGAGAAAATGATCTGAAATATTGCGCACAAGTTATTGGTCTAGACATGCATCTAGTTATACAAAAATCTTGAAAAAAATATTTTCTGTCCCTTCATATAAAAAAAAACTTAGTGGAGTCCCTTAAATTTTATTATAATTAATAAGGAGAATTTACATCACTATTTTAAAATGTAAATCGTAATCTACATATCAAATTCTTTTTAAAAATCATATTTAGTCTTGGCAGGTGACCTTAAAAGAATCGTTGGAACCCACATGTACTGATTCCGCTGTACTACAGTCGATGAAGTGTAACTTAACAAGTATGCACGGGTTACCAAGGATGCTTTAAAAATTTGACAAATCATCTGATTTGAGATTTTATGCAGCTAGGGTTGTCTGGTGACACTGCAGTAAATCACATGACTGGAGGAGAGTCAAAATAATGTTTCATTTGTCACAGGAATATAAAATACCAACAACAACTATTTATGTAATTTTGTTTATTTTTTCATAAATAAAGTAGGCAGAATATCAAATAACATCCAAAAAATCAGATTAGGTCATGCATATACCAGACCAAAATTAAAGTTCATAATAAATAAAACAAAAGTACCTTATGCAGTGTTTAAGCTCGTCTGTTATGGGAAACATCTATCAATAACCAATTTTGAAAAAAAATCAAGTTAAAAAGGGGCAACAGTTTATCCTAGCTTCCAAACGTTTTACTAACTAATATCAACTTTTTTCTGTCCATCACTTCCCGATAATATTGTGTGCAGACATATATTCTCTATTATTTATCTTAATTCAAAACTTTATTTAAATATTTTTGTCTCTTTTTTCTTCAAAACATTCTAAACAAAATCATCTGAAAAATTTACTTAAATTGAATACTAGTTAAAAACAATATTTTACTTTGTAATAGAAATTGTTTGGAGTAATCTCCCAATATTATGAAACAATCTTGAAACAGAAGTTTTCTTATTCTACTACTCTAGATAATAATGTTCTAACAAATTTATTCATTTTAATTATTTATCTGATTTCCCTTTTCTGTATTATTCTAACCAAATATGTGCATATTTTTTATTGCAAATACCTTGTGTGTGGAAAGAAATTTACATAAGTCACATTTGACTTGTTTTCCAATCCACGAAATATATCAGTGTGATTGTATATACTTACTGTATATATTTATGTTGTAAAATAGAAATAAAATATTGTTTAAACTAAAAAGGGGCATAAGTCATAAAATAGGATTATGTTTCTTGTCTTACAACAGTTTACTGCACCTTGACATAATAAGCAAGTGTTTCAAGTTTTGTGTTGATACCTTTTAAAATATTTGAATAATTGGGCTACATTAAAACTTTTGCATGACAACAACAACACAGCAATCATTATTATAGCTTGACTTTTTCTACGAAACAGACAAGCTAACAAGAGGGCCATGATGGCCCTAGATCGCTCACCTGACTTATCAAACTCATCCAAACAATTACCTAGACAACCGTTCTGACCAAGTCTCATGACAGGTGAGTCAAAAATGTGACCACTACAGTGTTAACAAGAATTATCCATATTTGAGCAGTGCGACCTAGTTTTTTACCCAGGTGACACATATTCAAACTTGACCTAGAAATCATCAAAACAAACTTTCAGACCAATTTCCAGGATACTTGGATCAAAACAGTAGCAACTAGAGTGTTAACAAGATTTTTCTATTTTTAGCTCCGGTGACCTAGTTTCACATGCGATTTCTAACTCATCCAAGCAATTACCTAGACAAGCATCCTGACCAAGTTTGATGATAATTGAGTCGAAAATGTGACCACTAGAATGTTAACAAGGTTTTTCCATATTTGGGCGGTGTGACCTAGTTTTTCATCCAAGATGACCCAATTGTTTGAACTTGACTTAGAAATCATCAAAACAAACTTTCAGACCAATTAACAGAATATTTGGATCACAACAGTAGCCACTAGAGTGTTAACAAGATTTTTCTATTTTTAGCTCCTGTGACCTAGTTTTTCATCCGAGATGACCCATGTTCGAATTATTCCCAGCAATGACCTAGACAAGTTTCCTGACCAAGTTTGATGACAATTAAGTCAAAATTGTGACCACTAGAGTGTTAACAAGGTTTTTCTATTTTTAGCTCCGGTGACCTACTTTTTCATCCGAGATGACCCATGTTCAAACTCATCCAAGCTATCACCTAGACAAGCATCTTGACCAAGTTTGATGATGATTGATGCAAAAATGTGACCGCTACAGTGTTAACAAGGTTTTTCTATTTTTAGCTCCGGTGACCTACTTTTTCATCCGAGATGACCCATGTTCAAACTCATATGAGATTTCAACTAGATAAGCATCCTGACCAAGTTTGATGATGATTGATGCAAAAATGTGACTGCTAGAGTGTTAACAAGGTTTTTCTATTTTTAGCTCCGGTGACCTACTTTTTCATCCGAGATGACCCATGTTCAAACTCATCCGAGCTATCAACTAGATAAGCATCCTGACTAAGTTTGATGATGATTGATGCAAAAATGTGACCGCTAGAGTGTTAACAAGGTTTTTCTATTTTTAG